AGGCTGATGTGTTGTCACGCAGACCAGACTATGCGCTTGCTCATGTTACAACTGTAACGTCATCTGTGACGGATTTGATCCACACCGCGTATGCGGGTGATGGGATGTGTGTAGCGTTGCTACGTGCTCTAGGGAGCAACACGTTTGGAAACTCGGACAAGATATTGTCATCAAGATTGCGTTCACGATTGCAACGATATTTGTTGAATAACGGTTTGCTATATTATAGCACTGATTCAACGGATACTGTGGTTCCTCATGATGAGGATTTAAAATACCGCATCCTCACCTTTCCGATAGAAATATTTTTTCGTCTCTCGCGGCCATGGCTGGAATATTATATCTTGAGTCCAGGATTCCTACGGGGCCAGACATAAAGATAGACCTTCTAAACGTGTCTAGCTCCATAAGACACAAAATCAATCACATCGTGTTTCATCGTCACAGAAGATACAGTTCTTTCGCCATTCGGTCGTAACATTGGCTACTGGTGCTATCAAGTGCAACCGGGTCGTTGTGCACCTTGTATAGAGAAATTGTTCACTCGGGGAGTTCGCAAAATTAAACGTCAGAAATTATGATGTACGGTCAATTTAGGTGCGAAACCGAGAGCCGCTTGATAAATTATTTTGCTATTTCAAGAGCCAGAATATTATTAACTGTTTTGTTTAGACTTGTGACAAGTTTTACAATATTTCAAGATAAATATGAATCGACATCTCCTATACTGATTAATGTTACCTTTATAATTACCATAATTTCGATACTACTGAAGAGCGAAGGTCAAATTTGTAAAAGAGTACAAAGTGTAAGGTGCGTGTACTCAATATAGACTACTTACCTCGTTACATTTACATATCAGTCTGATCTAACGGATTTTTACGAATAGTGATCGGTCTTTTATTTGTGAGTAGCCTAAAGAAATCGATCACTTTTGACAGGAGGTCTCAAATTCGTTGAGGGCTACTATATCTCGACGACATCAACGTCATCCAAGGCTTGGTCTATTTCGTCTACATTGAAAGGATCATCCTCTCTTTCACTGTCGGCATTGCTCCACCTTTGCTGAAATTTCCACCCGCAAACTTCATAGTTCCAAATGAACCACTGTGACGGGCTTTTGTGAAATCCTGCAGCTTCAATGG